TTATGTGGTTGACGCTGTAAATTACTTCGTTATTAGATGGGGATGTATGGGTTTAACACATCTCTGGCTTATGATGTATGTGGGGGGAGTGGGAGAGTGTATAAGGGTGTGTGAGGGGTGAGTGTGGTGTGTGAGAGATGTGTGTATGTGGGAGTGGGAGTTTATCGAGAGTGGGTGCGTGGATGTGTTCTACTTGTCTACAAAGAAAACAATTCCCGTGCTGTCACCGACGTTTCTAGAAACACCAACTCTGATAGCTTCTCACATCTTTAATAAAATGTGTCTAATTATTCTTGGAACTTAATTGCGTAATGTACGGCCTTGCGTCACACTCCCGAGTCCAACCTATAAAAAAGCTAATTAAGATTGAAAATGGAGGTTTCATTTTTTACCATTTCAATTCGAGATTTTTTTTTGCCCCACACTAAAAACAGGATGAGTGAGTGAGTGAGGCTGGATCCAGGCCACGTGACCAGGGAACAAATTTTAAATGACATTTGCCAATGACGTGCAGTTAAAGGGAGAGAATGTAACATACATAAAGGCAAAGTATGGGTACCGATGGACCCAAGAGATGCAAGCTTGCGGTCAAAAGATGCCAGCCTGCGGACAAAAGATGCAAGCTTGCGGACAAAAGATGCCAGCCTGCGGACAAAAAAATGCAAGCTTGCGGTCAAAAGATGCCAGCCTGCGGACAAAAGATGCAAGCTTGCGCTCAAAAGATGCAAGCTTGCGAACAAAAGATGCAAGCTTGCGGTCAAAAGATGCCAGCCTGCGGACAAAAGATGCCAGCCTGCGGACAAAAGATGCAAGCTTGCGGACAAAAGATGCAAGCTTGCGGACAAAAGATGCAATGCTACCGACAACAGAGGAAGAACTAATGTCATAACTTAAAGATGTGGCTGACCACACGCCATCATGCGTTAAGTAAATCCAATTTAGTTTAGAAACCCATAACCATAGTGAATGGAATATTTTGAATACAGTTGTAGCCATTACAAGCGGAATGGTTGAAGTTAAATCTATCTGTCCCTGCTATTTGTAGCCATTGCCATCTATCCTTGCCAGTTTAACACTGAAAAAAACTTTTCTCTAAACCGTGCCAGGAAATATCTTGCATTTAGACAACGCAGACAACATCTCTGTCACGTGGTTATCACGTGGTTATCCAGTATAATCTGACAGACGAACACGTCGGGCTAGAAAAATCATATTTAATCTTGGTACATCAACATCATGTTTGATCATCCTAGACACGCCGCCATTTTTTTTTTCAATCTAGGTCAAATATAAGCATTAAGGGCACGTGACAGGTCCATTAAAAACATGAACTAACAATGTTTTACATTCAGCGGGTAAATGTTTAACGAATCAATGTTTGTATGAGATAGTAAATATTGTCTAACGGAACAATGGCGAACGTTGTATTTAAAAAACTGTATCTTTTATATGGGATGGTAAATGTTGACATATGGTGTAGACTTAGGGGTAATTGTTGTAAAACAAAACAATATGTTGGATCTCAAATGGTAAATGTTGACATATGGTGTAGACTTTAGGGTAATTGTTGTAAAACAAAACAATATGTTGGGTCTGAAATGGTAAATGGTGTATGAAGGTGTGTTTTAGAGAGTATGCCTGAATAAGACATAAGATAAAGACCATAACAAGATGGCGGCCTACCTGTCTGTGTTTAATTACACATTGATTTAATAAACTGGTGTTTCCGACACGCATAAGTGCGATATTGTATGAGAAAATTGGGTAAAATTTGAGAACGCAAGAAATTTAAAATAGTTCAGATGTCAATTACAACTCAGCAAACCTGACTTAGAGTTGTCTTGGGAAATTGACCGAAAGATGTGAACATCGAGGGGAGGGAGGGGCATGATAAGGGGTGGGGAAACATCACAGTAAAATACCTACCAAACCTACGGGAATTACAGTTAAGGTGGATGGTAAAATGGACAAATAAGGCGTGGCTAACATGGAGGTTACAGTCCGTGACCTGACAAACTGAATTTAACCGTAATTATCATACCCCAACACAAACTGGTTAAATTTAACCGTAATTATCATACCCCAACACAAACTGGTTAAATTTAACCGTAATTATCATACCCCAACACAAACTGGTTAAATTTAACCGTAATTATCATACCCCAACACAAACTGGTTAAATTTAACCGTAATTATCATACCCCAACACAAACTGGTTAAATTTAACCGTAATTATCATACCCCAACACAAACTGGTTAAATTTAACCGTAATTATCATACCCCAACACAAACTGGTTAAATTTAACCGTAATTATCATACCCCAACACAAACTGGTTAAATTTAACCGTAATTATCATACCCCAACACAAACTGGTTAAATTTAACCGTAATTATCATACCCCGGCATGCTGATTTTAAACCGTTTCAATTAGTCACGTGACAACCAGGCTATTTTTATCTCCCCCACACGGTCACGTGACAAAGCAATATGGGAGACAATCTTTAAAGGCGGCGTCTTATCACGAGAAGAGTGAGAGAGAAAACGTTGAGGGGGGAAATGTGAATTTAATTCACTTATCTTCTCTCAGTAAGCCGAGTTGGAAAAATATTCCAGATTAGATACAGACAGAGGGAGTCAAATATAGAGGTTGGTGACTTCATCACATTACATTGGTAGGATTAGCAGTCCATCATATCACATTGTGGGATTAGCCATCCATCATATCACATTGTGGGATTAGCCATCCATCACATTGGTGGGATTAGCCGTCCATCACATTGGTAGGATTAGCCGTCCATCACATTGGTAGGATTAGCCGTCCATCAAATTACATTTGTAGGATTAGCCGTCCATCGCATCACATTGGTAGGATTAGCCGTCCATCACATTGGTAGGATTAGCCGTCCATCAAATTACATTTGTAGGATTAGCCGTCCATCGCATCACATTGGTGGGATTAGCCGTCCATCACATTGGTAGGATTAGCCGTCCATCACATTGGTAGGATTAGCCGTCCATCAAATTACATTTGTAGGATTAGCCGTCCATCGCATCACATTGGTGGGATTAGCCGTCCATCACATTGGTAGGATTAGCCGTCCATCAAATTACATTAGAAGGATTAGCCGTCCATCGCATCACATTGGTGGGATTAGCCGTCTAATTCATAAAAATTAATGAGACAACGTTTTACAATTTTTTTTTACAAACGCGCACTTTTTAACATTTATGACAACTGACCACACGCACCTTCTAACATTTATGACAACTGACCACACGCACCTTTTAACATTTATGACAACTGACCACACGCAGCTTCTAATATCTATGACAACTGACCACACGCACCCTCTAATATCTATGACAACTGACCACACGCACCTTCTAACATTTATGACAACTGACCACACGCACCTTTTAACATTTATAACAACTGACCACACGCACCTTCTAATAACTATGACAACTGACCACACACACATTCTAATATCTATGACAACTGACCACACGCACCCTCTAATATCTATGACAACTGACCACACGCACCTTCTAACATTTATGACAACTGACCACACGCACCTTCTAACATTTATGACAACTGACCACACGCACCTTTTAACATTTATAACAACTGACCACACGCACCTTCTAATAACTATGACAACTGACCACACACACATTCTAATATCTATGACAACTGACCACACGCACCCTCTAATATCTATGACAACTGACCACACGCACCCTCTAATATCTATGACAACTGACCACACGCAGCTTCTAATATTTATGACAACTGACCACACGCACCTTCTAATATCTATGACAACTGACCACACGCACCTTCTAACATGTATTTAACCCTTGTTGCATATTAGCAACACTCGACTGAAAATCCCACGTTAATTTTTGGACAACTTTTTTTTCTACCGGGTTTAAATTCAATGTGCGTGACTTTAGAACACAATTTTTGCTTTAAAATAAACACCGCCTGCCCCCCCCCTCGTTTCCCTCCTCTTCCCGCCCCTCCACCCAGCTCCCCCTCGAGAGGCGCAAGACGACCTTATTTAAATTATTTATACAGCAATAAAAACTCCAGCCCGGTTTGGTGGCCAACTCCCGTTATGTTCGCCAACAAATCGATTAAAAATCTGGCAATGTCGACTCGACGTTTACGCCCCTGACCACTCAAACCCTCCCAACAAATCACGTGATTTTTTAGCATGCACGGCACCGTGTAGGGCGCGACCGCTGTTGGAAGTCAGTTCCATTTTTATGACGTCCTGACTCCATGCCCGGCTGGAAATGTGATATTAATGCCACGTGATGGGGGTGGGGTGTCCTGCGCCCGTGTCTGAGCGCTGTATCGCCCAACACGACCGCATTACGCCGCCATTGACCAAAACTTGAGCCTGTTCTATCGCTGGGACGACGTTATGCGAATCTCTAATACAGGGTTGATTTTCAGGGTAGATCAATGTTGTTTTTTTAGTGCTGCCGACTGGCGCCCAACTCAAGACAGAATATTGCAAGAATAAATAACTTACTTTTTATTGTAGGGCGTCTGATGTGTTTATTATGATTAATGCTGTTTTGTCAAATCTTTTTTTCCAGAAAAACGCAGAAGGCGAGCACTAGTCAGTGACAACAGGAGGTTTTAAGGGCAACAATTTGAACAAATAGGGAGGTGAAATGTTGGGACTTTAGCAATCTACGGTCGTCTATTCCGGCAACCAAGCCATTCTCCAGTCATCGTAGTCATTGTTCAGTCAGCTTGGCCATTGTTAAGTCGTCTTGGCCATTCTTCAGTCATCTTTGTAATTCTCCAGTCATCGTAGTCATTGTTCAGTCATCTTGGCCATTGTTCAGTCATCTTAGTCACTGTTCAGCTCCAACTAATCTTTCTTCAGTCATACCGACGCCACCCAAGTCACCCAACCCTCCGATCATACCGACGCCACCCAAGTTTCCCCCCCCCCCCTCCCATCTGTCACGCAGATTATACTTTAATCGCATGTCGCACTGTCCACCCCTGTGACGTCCAAATTGGCGCAGCAATTAGTTGATCTTCCCGCCTTTCTAATTAACCCTGAAGCAGACGACTTTGATTGGTGATCGCGCCGTCTGCTGCCCTACTTCCGTTGAACCGTTTAGAGACGTCACGTGACCGCACTGAATGATGGGATATCCACAGACAATGACACGTTTAGCCTCGTTCCTGCTCCGTTTAACGGCTGTGTTTACAGCAGGCTGGGTACACATTTGAGCTGAAAATCCTCGGTGCCAGAACTGTTATCACCTCGTCTGGCAGGAGTCGTCTGTTGATTCATAGGATTCGGACTCGGCTCCGGCGAAAGTTTGCAGACGACTGATGGTGCCGGGCTCAATCCTGCAGGACAGGCTGACGGTGACAGGGAGATAGCAGCAGACAAAAGCTGTTGGCGTCTGCTTGCTACGTCAGCGTCATGAACACTCGCAGACGGCAAGCCTTCAGTGGACGTGACGTCATTCAAGATGGCTGATAATGAAAAGGTAACTCGGTATTTAGGATTTTTTTTTTACTATAAAACACTTTCTTTTTCTTCCCCTTCCTCTGCAATAATTTTTAAATTTATTTTTGTAGATTGTGCTAAATATTTGTGTAGATTGTGCTAAAATTTCAATTTTTATGTTTGAAAACTTGTTTTTCTGGTTCAAATCTAAGTCTCGTTTGGTTTGTCTGATGTGTGGGTCTGTGCTGATGTGTGGGTCTGTGCTGATGTGTGTTGATGTGGGGGTCAGCGCTAAAGTCTGTGTTGACCAGTCTAAAGCTAGCCCCCATCTACTGCTCCACCTACTGTCTAGCAATGTTTAATATCAACTTGTGGGCCGACCGTTGACTGGTTTAAAAGGTCGATAGATGTTTGATTGGCTACACAAGTCACGTGAGTGGAACTCGTGTCGGTTATTTCCCCTGGGATCTTGGGGTTATTAAAAACGTTTATAGGGGACGGGGATCGTGGGGTTGTTTAAAACGTTTATAAGGGACAGGGGTCTTCGGGTTATTAAAAACGTTTATAGGGGAAGGGGGGTTATTCTCATCTTATAAGGGTGGTCGCATTGTGTCTGTTTAGAGCCAGATAGGTGGGTGGGTTATCATAGAGCTAGATAGTTAGGTGGGTTATCATAGAGACAGATAGTTAGGTGGGTTACCATAGTCAGACAGTTAGGTGGGTTATCATAGCCAGATACTTTTGTGGGTTCTCATTGAGCCAGATAGTTGGGTTATCATAGAGCGAAATAGTTATGTGGGTTATCATAGGGCCAGATAGTTAGGTGGGTTATCATAGAGCCAGATAGTTAGGTGGGTTATCATAGGGCCAGATAGTTAGGTGGGTTATCATAGGGCCAGATAGTTAGGTGGGTTATCATAGGGCCAGATAGTTATGTGGGTTATCATAGGGCCAGATAGTTAGGTGGGTTATCATAGAGCCAGATAGTTATGTGGGTTATATCATAGAGCCAGATAGTTATGTGGGTTATCATAGAGCCAGATAGTTAGGTGGGTTATCATAGAGCCAGATAGTTAGGTGGGTTATCATAGAGCAAGATAGTTATGTGGTTCCACTCTGAAAGACATAGCCATTGAAGAAGCCATTTTGTCCACTAAAACGATAAAAGTATCCCCAGTGCCATCATTAATCTATCAATAATAAACCATTAATAATAATAAATATGGCGGCCGAACAAGCGATCTCGGATAAGTAGAAAAAATGGCGGTCTCTACCAGACGACAAAGCCACGTAAAAGCTTGTTATCTTTTATGCAAGAGAGCCCTAGCCTCCAACAGAAAATACTTGAGCTCTAGTCCGAGTTATTTTCCCTTCCTTTTAATTTTTCACCAGCGAGGAAGCAGCCAGCTACAGACCTACCCTCAGGAGAGTAGAGCTGTTTGATTCCACTCAATGGGGTTTGAATACCAGGCCGGGTCCGGCTTGGCCGTGCCGGCGTCTCCAGACAGCCGGAGACGGAACGTTTTTGTGCACATCCGGCCCAGACAACCGCGCGCACGTCCGTTGGGCTTAAGCGGAGAGGAAATCATATTTACATTTTTGACTTAGGTCCAACTACCGTTGCAAATTGGAGGACAGGAGGGTGGGGGGCGGGGAATTGTAGGGTAGGGGAGTTTGTAAGAGACTTTGTTTAGTATGTATAGTGGTTTAGTCCTCGGCGGGTTTTAGCACACCCAAATGTTTAGGTAAATATGGGGCCATCTGATCTCTATGGATGGTCTGGGGCCATCTGATCTCTATGGATGGTCTGGGGCCATCTGATCTCTATGGATGGTCTGGGGCCATCTGATCTCTATGGATGGACTGGGGCCATCTGATCTCTATGGATGGTCTGGGGCCATCTGATCTCTATGGATGGTCTGGGGCCATCTGATCTCTATGGATGGTCTGGGGCCATCTGATTTCTGTATGTATGGATGGACTGGGGCCATCTGATCTCTATGGATGGTCTGGGGCCATCTGATTTCTATGGATGGTCTGGGGCCATCTGATTTCTGTATGTATGGATGGACTGGGGCCATCTGATCTCTATGGATGGTCTGGGGCCATCTGATTTCTGTATGTATGGATGGACTGGGGCCATCTGATCTCTATGGATGGTCTGGGGCCATCTGATCTCTATGGATGGTCTGGGGCCATCTGATTTTTATGGATGGTCTGGGGCCATCTGATCTCTGTATGTATGGATGGTCTGGGGCCATCTGATCTCTATGGATGGTCTGGGGCCATCTGATCTCTATGGATGGACTGGGGCCATCTGATTTCTGTATGTATGGATGGACTGGGGCCATCTGATCTCTATGGATGGTCTGGGGCCATCTGATTTCTATGGATGGTCTGGGGCCATCTGATCTCTGTATGTATGGATGGTCTGGGGCCATCTGATCTCTATGGATGGTCTGGGGCCATCTGATCTCTATGGATGGACTGGGGCCATCTGATCTCTATGGATGGTCTGGGGCTATCTGATCTCTATGGATGGTCTGGGGCTATCTGATCTCTATGGATGGTCTGGGGCCATCTGATCTCTGTATGTATGGATGGACTGGGGCCATCTGATCTCTGTATGTATGGATGGTCTGTGGCCATCTGATCTCTATGGATGGTCTGGGGCCATCTGATCTCTATGGATGGTCTGGGGCCATCTGATCTCTATGGATGGTCTGGGGCCATCTGATCTCTGTGGATGGTCTGTGGCCATCTGATCTCTATGGATGGTCTGGGGCCATTTGATCTCTGTATGTATGGATGGTCTGTGGCCATCTGATCTCTGTGGATGGTCTGGGGCCATTTGATCTCTGTATGTATGGATGGTCTGGGGCCATCTGATCTCTATGGATGGCCTGGGGCCATCTGATCTCTATGGATGGTCTGGGGCCATCTCATCTCTCAGGAACTAGATGAGCATTCTATCGCTGTTTATACATGCACGATTTTTACAACGAATATGGGGAATCCATATGGGATTTCTGAGGGGGCGTATGGCATTCATCAAAGATACAGATTATGTTTTTGTACATTTTATACATATTCAAACATGGAAATTTTAAAGTTTGCATACCTGAAAAAGAGTTTATAAAACTACATGATAGTAGAGTATAACACGTGAAAGTGGTATTACAGATCAGAGTAGTAATATGGTATAACACGTCAATGTAGGAGTATAGTATAACACATCAGAGTTGCAGTACAAATGTCACGACACAGTTCATATGTTTTGTGTAACGGATGAGACTGTCAGACTGTCTTAGAGGCCAGTCTTATAGGTCAGCTGCTTGGTTGACAGGAATGTATGACAGGTAGACAGGAATGTATGACTGAAATGTATGACAGGGATGTATGACAGGTAGACAGGAATATATGACGGGTAGACAGGAATATATGACAGGAATGTATGACAGGTAGACAGGGATGTATGACTGAAATGTATGATAGGGATGTATGACAGGAATGTATGACAGGTAGTCAGGGATGTATGACTGAAATGTATGATAGGGATGTATGACAGGAATGTATGACAGGTAGACAGGAATGTATGACTGAAATGTATGACAGGGATGTATGACAGGAATGTATGACAGGTAGACAGGAATGTATGACTGAAATGTATGACAGGGATGTATGACAGGAATGTATGACAGGTAGACAGGAATGTATGACTGAAATGTATGACAGGGATGTATGACAGGAATGTATGACAGGTAGACAGGAATGTATGACTGAAATGTATGACAGGGATGTATGACAGGAATGTATGACAGGTAGACAGGAATGTATGACTGAAATGTATGACAGGGATGTATGACAGGAATGTATGACAGGTAGACAGGAATGTATGACTGAAATGTATGACAGGGATGTATGACAAGAATGTATGACAGGTAGTCAGGGATGTATGACTGAAATGTATGACAGGAATGTATGACAGGAATGTATGACAGGTAGACAGGAATGTATGACTGAAATGTATGATAGGGATGTATGACAGGAATGTATGACAGGTAGACAGGAATGTATGACTGAAATGTATGATAGGGATGTATGACAGGAATGTATGAAAGGTAGACAGGAATGTATGACTGAAATGTATGATAGGGATGTATGACAGGAATGTATGACAGGTAGACAGGAATATATGACGGGTAGACAGGAATATATGACAGGAATGTATGACAGGTAGACAGGGATGTATGACTGAAATGTATGACAGGGATGTATGACAGGAATGTATGAAAGGTAGACAGGAATGTATGACTGAAATGTATGACAGGGATGTATGACAGGAATGTATGACAGGTAGACAGGAATGTATGACTGAAATGTATGACAGGGATGTATGACAGGAATGTATGACAGGTAGACAGGAATGTATGACTGAAATGTATGACAGGGATGTATGACAGGAATGTATGACAGGTAGACAGGAATGTATGACTGAAATGTATGACATGGATGTATGACAGGAATGTATGACAGGTAGACAGGAATGTATGACTGAAATGTATGACAGGGATGTATGACAGGAATGTATGACAGGTAGTCAGGGATGTATGACTGAAATGTATGATAGGGATGTATGACAGGAATGTATGACAGGTAGACAGGAATGTATGACTGAAATGTATGACAGGGATGTATGACAGGAATGTATGACAGGTAGACAGGAATGTATGACTGAAATGTATGACAGGGATGTATGACAGGAATGTATGACAGGTAGACAGGAATGTATGACTGAAATGTATGACAGGGATGTATGACAGGAATGTATGACAGGTAGACAGGGATGTATGACTGAAATGTATGACAGGGATGTATAACAGGAATATGATTCCACGTTCAATCTCCGATACATTGCCTGCTAGTGTCAAATTAAAGTATCAAGTTAATTTTGCCATTCTGTCCGCTGTGTAAACTGTACCAATGCATATTTTCGCGATTACAGATGCTCCTGTTAAACGTCGACTCAATAATCCACCC